ATATAATTTTATAAAATATTAATGACAATTATAATCCTGCATTTTCCCATCTAAAGGATGTGAAAAATGGCTGGTCAGACTTCAAGATGGACATGTCTGTAGCCTACTTTGGATCTTAAGTCAAATATTTGTAAGTGGTATACAAAAGAAATCAAGGAGATGGCTGGGGGAGGGGAATCAGATTTTAAAATAAGATATTTTTTAATACTAAAGTGTACATAACCATAACAGCCTAGGAAAATATCCAATTTTAACTAAGATGCTTGTGTAACATTTTTGTTTTCTAAAATAGGGTAACTCTAAATACATTAATTATTAATCTAATTTATAGTAGCACTCACAAATAGAAAAATATGATATAGTCTTTCCTTCAAAGTCTAAAAAATAAAGCAGACAGAAGATAAGAGGAAGGGGGTCCAATATCTGATAAAGCAGTCATAGATATAGAATTCTTAGACTTTCAGAAAGCCAGTGATGGAGGGATCCCAGGCTCTTAGGTAAGCTGTCATGGGATGAGAGGGAAATTCCTGTGGATCAGAACGGTTAAACGATGGGAAACAAAATAGAGGAATAAATTATCAGTTTTCAGACTGGAAAAGGTAAATATAGTGGTGTCCTCCAAGGGTCTGAACTGGGGTCAGTAGTCTTCAACATACTCATAAAATGATCTAGAATAAAGAGTAAATAGGTGGCAAAATTCTTCAAGATAGCTAAGTCCAAAGCAGGCATGTGAAGAACTACAGAGGGATCTCACAAAAACTGAATGACTGGACAACAAAATGGCAGATGAAATTCAATGCTGATAAATGCCAAGTAATGTAAATTAGAAAATGTAATTCCAACTACAAATATAAAATAATAGGGTCTAAATTAGTTGTTACCACTCAAAAAAGAGATCTTGGAGTCATTACGGATAGTTCTATAAAAAAATCCACTCAGTGCAGCCACAGTTTAAAAAAAAGCCTCTGACAATGTTGAGACTAATTAGGAAAGACATAGATAAGATGGAATATATATTGCTTCTGTATAAATCCATGGTATGCCCACATATTCAGTACTGAAGGCAGATGTGTTTTCTCCTTCTCAGAAGTGTTTTCCCCTTCTCAGAAAGATATATTGGAATTGGAAAAGGTGCAGAAGAGGGCAACAAAATGATTGGTGGTATGGAACAACTTCCATGTGAAGTGACTGACTTTTCAGCTTCGAAAAGAGATGACTAAGAGGATATGAGAGAGGTCTATACAATTATGACTTATGTGGAGAAAGTAAATAAGGAAGTGTTAGTTACTCATAACACAAACTAAGAGTCACTACATAAACAAATAGGCAGCAAGTTTAAAACAGACAAAAGGAAATATTTTTTCATACAACACACAGTCAACCAGTGGAACTTTTTGCCTGAGGATGTTGTGATGGCCAAGTCTCTTAACAGGATTCAAACAAGAATTAATTTAAGTTTATGGAAGTTAGGTCCATCAATGGCTATTAACCACGGTGGGCAGGATGGTGTCCCTAGCCTCTTTTCCAGAAGCTGGGAATGGGCTATCACTTGATTGCCTGTTCTGTTCATTCCCTTTGAAGCAACTGATACTGGCCACTGTCAGAAAACATGGTACTGGGCTTACGTGGACCTTTGGTCTGACCCAGTATTGCCGTTCTTACATTCTTGACATTAGTAAGGTTGCAAAGTCAAGCACTCAAAAATTAGAGAATGCCAGAATCAACGTTTTATGAGCAATCTTAACGTATCCTGGTTATGCATATGCATTATGATGCAGTATTTAATTTTTTGAAAAGGCACCATAAATTCTGAAACTTCCTAACTTTTGAGTGCTTGACTTTGCAACATTTTTTAAACATAGATTTATATTAGGGTTGTTAGCGTGTACCTGTTTACATGATTTACTGATAAGTCTGGGCTCATTGGTTAGTAGGGTTACCAGATGGTTTCAACAAAAATACTGGACAGACTTGACATTACATCACAATCTACATTACATCTTATGTAGAAAATACCGGACATTTATATTTTCTCAATTTGTTTCCCGAACAGAAAGCTCAAATACTGGACTGTCCGGTGCAAAACCGGACACCTGGCAACCCTATATGGTTTGTCCTAATGGGGTCAGTCTCACACACACACACACACACCCCACCCCTGCCCCCCAGGTGAGGGGAAGCAGGAGCCAGTGTCTGTGGGGAGCTGGTTTTTAAGCTGGTTTCTGCACATGAGAGCTTCCTGCTCCCTCATCCCCTGCTGCCTCCCGCAGAGCTACCGTATATTCCGGCGTACAAGACGACCTCTGAAGTTAAAAAACATCCCCCAAAAATCGGGGGTCGTCTTGTACGCCGGATGCCCCGCCGCCGGAGCCCCTCCGCGGCTTTGAAAGCCTCGGGGGAAGCCGGCGGGGGGGCATCCCAGGCGCGCATGGGCTGCCCCCCCTCCGGAGCCCCTCCGCGGCTGGACCATCTCCAGCAGACCCGGGACACCGGGAGCAAAGGAGGCGGAGGGGTGCTGGGGTATAAGATGAAACCCTATCTTTTAATTAAAAAGATAGGGGGTCGTCTTATACGCCCAGTCGCCCTATACGCCGGAAAATACGGTA